CTGCTGCCCTCCTTTATGCCCCCACCGCTGCTGAGCGTGAGGCCTTTTCCGTTGCTGCGCTTAATCGTGTCGTGTGGGACTCGCGCGACGCTGTCGCCCAGCCTGGTATTAGCCGTGCGCTCCCGCTGTCTAAGCGTCCCCGCTTTACCATTGTTGCGAACGCCCAGGCCTACTTAAATGCTGGCATTGCACGCTATTCTACCCTCGGCACTACCTCTGCTGGTCGCCTGATCCTTCCCATGCTGTTCCTTGATATTGCGTCCTTCCCCACTGTCGCCGACTATGCCACGCACCACAGCGCGCTTGAGACAAGCTACCACGCTGCTAGCACTGAGGCACAGTTCACTGCCTTCCCGCCGTCGTTCTGCACTACCCTTAATCTCATCACCACGCGCCTCCCTGACCGCCTAGCCACAGCGCACGACCACTTCCTTAGTCAGCACCCGGCTGACCCCTCCTCCGGTCCGATAGTTGCACGTAGCTCCACCACCCTTCCCTGTCCGGCGGCCCCCTTGGGCACAATTACAAGCCTGCACATCCCCTCGTTCTCTAGGAACCTAGGTGCTGTCGGCTGTCTTCAGGACCTCGGTGTTACCACTACGTTCCCTGGACACGAGCGGTATGCGGTCTGCGCGGAGACCGCCACTGGTGCTCCTCTAACCACGTTCTCCCGGGACCCTGTGTCCGGCATGTTTACACTTGATACTGCTTCCCCTTCGGTGTGGGCGTCCACCTAGGTAGCCGCGGCTTGCTCGTGTCGGTCGCTCACTCACCCGTCGCTGCTGTGGCACCACCGCCTAGGTCACCCAGCACTCCTGCATCTGCGTCACATGTCCCTGCACGGTCTTGTCCTAGGTCTCCATGAATCGCTCCCTTCCCTCCCTCCCTCGCCTGCGCCGCCGTACACGCCCTGCGTCTAGGGCCAGCTGCGCCGTGCTCCTCACTCCTCCTGGACGTCAGGGGTCCAGCCCCCATCCCTAAGCTGCGTCAAGAGCGCTACTTCCTGGTGCTTGTCGACGACTACACGCGCTACACCACGGAGTTTCCCCTGGAGCGGAAGGTCAACGTGCCTGGCGTTCTTATCCCGTGAGTCGTAGCTGGTGCAAGTCCGCCGAGGTCTCCCCGTGCTGTGTCTCCACTCCGACCGTGGTGGCAAGTTTGCCTTCGGTCGGCTTGGCCGGTTTTGTCGTGCGGAGGGCATCACCCGGCCGTACACCTTGCCGGAATCCCCACAGCAGAATGGGGTCGCTGAGCGACGCATTGGCTTGGTCATGGAGGTGGCTCGTACCATGCCAGTGCACCCCACTTTCTGTGGCCATTCGCTGTTCGCTATGCCGCTCACCAGCTGAACCTGTGGCCCCACTCCCAGCGGCCACAAGTTTCACCGACGTGCCTCTGGCACGGACAAGCTCACTGCATGCACTGTCCCCGGTGTCTTCCTCGATTTCCCCCTTGACTCGTCAGACTGGCACTTTTACCACCCGCCGTCTCACTGCTTCCATCACTCGCGGGACGCCACTTTCAACGAGTCTGTCTCCTTTTACCGTCGCTTTCCCCATCGAGGTCTCCCGGTTTCCCAACCCCTGTTTCGGGTTCCCACTCCCCCGGTAGACCCTGCTCCCCTCCCTCCCCGTCTTGCTCCGTCTGGAGTGTCTCACATCACTCCCCTCGCGTCGCTTATCCCGGTCAAGGAGTCAGCTAACTCTGGTGGCCCCGCGGTGCAACTCTTGCCGCTTGCCTCTTCCCCGGTGTCCTCTCCCTCGTTGTCGCAGTCGCCGCCGCAGCCGGCACTGCCGCCGCAGCAGCCGCCGCCGTCACAGCAGCAGACGTCGTTCGTGGACTCTGGGGGTGCTGGAATTGAGGAGGGTGCTAGTTCTGGGGTTCCTGCCGTGGCTTGTCCTAACGGGCTCGGGGGTGGAACCGGTGAGGGAGAGGTTTCTCGCTCTGGGGGTGCTGGAGTGGAGTGTTCCGGAGGAAGCCGTGGTGCAGCTGGCAGTCCAGGTGTCCAGCAAGAGATGGCATCTTGGAGATCTAGCGGCACCTACATCGACGCAGTCCCCCTACCTGGGGTAAACGTATTCGATGGCCGGCTGCTATTTAAGGTGAAGTGCCCTTCTGGAAAGCCGCCTGCGTTCAAAGTGCACTACGTGGCTTGAGGCTTCAGTCAGCGCGAGGGGGTGGACTTCTTTCAGACCTTCGCCCCGACCCCGAAGATGGATACTCTTCGGGCGCTGCTACACGTAGCAGCACAGCGTGACTACGAGCTCCACTCCCTCGACTTCTCCACTGCTTTTCTTCAGGGCAGCCTACACGAGCAGGTCTACCTGCGCCGTCCACAGGGCTTCACCAGTACCTTCCTGCCTCGGACCCAGTGGCTCCTCCGGCACCCGGTGTACGGCTTGCGACAGGCACCCCGTGAGTGGCACGACACGCTGCGTGCTACGCTAGCTGACTTGCAGTTCTTTCCGTCCTCTGCAGACCCCTCACTCTTCGTTCGTGCTGGCCAGACTCCGTTCTACATCCTTGTCTACGTAGACGATCTGGTCTTCGCTACTGCAGACAGAGACGCACTGGCCTCGGTGAAGACCGAGCTGCTGAGGAGGCACACATGCACTGACCTAAAAGAGCTGTGCCGCTACCTTGGCCTGAAAATCTCCAGGGACAGAGCAACGTGCACCACCACTCTCACAGAGTCACACTTGGTACGCCAGGTCCTTCAGAGGTTCGGTCTTTAGTTCTCCTCAGCACTGCCTACACATCTGCCAGTAGACCACATGCTCTCAGCTCCTGTTCCTGAGGAGTCAGTAGAGCCCAGTGGTCATTTCGCAAAGCTGGTGGGTTGCCTCATGTACCTGATGTCTTGCACTCGCCCAGACCTTGCATACCCTCTCAGCATCCTGGCTCGCTTTGTGGCCACAGGCAGACACCGACCACAGCACTAGACGGCTGCTTTAGAGGGTTTTACGTTATCTAGCAAGTACATCGGGCATAGGGCTAGTACTGGAAGGATGCAGGCCAGTGGTCCTTACTGGGCACACTGACGCTTCTTGGGCAGACGACGTTGAGACCCTCAGGACCTCTCAGGGCTACTGCTTTAGCCTTGGTGCTGGTGCATTAACGTGGAGGTCCACCCGCTCGTCGTCTGTTGCACAATCCAGCTGCGAGGCAGAGATCTACGCTGGTGGCATGGCGGTACAGGAGCTCCGTTGGCTGACTTTCTTGCTCACAGACTTAGGTGAGCGGCCTAGCTGTGCCCCAGTTCTGTATGCTGACAACAAGGCCATGATCCTTATGTGTCAGGAGCCTCGACTGGAGGGCAGAGCGAAGCACATCCAGCTGCGGTACTTCCTCCTACGCGAGCTACAGCAGCGTCGCCAGGCCCGCGTAGTACACTTGGCCTGGGGTGCCAAAACAGCTGATATCTTTACTAAGGCGCTTGCGCCTAAAGGTAATCAGCGGCATTGTTTGCAGCTTGGTCTAGCTCCTGTAGCTACTCACTTGCTAGGACCTTGATTGTGTACTTCTCTTTATATATACCTCTCTGACTGGCGTTGTGGCTTCTCTTCCAGTGGTCGGACTAGTAGTGCCGCCTTGGTTTGCTCTTGTCTTGTTTGTACTCTTGCTGACTGGTGTTCGGACCCTTGCCTCAGAGGCTGGACTCGTAGTGCCACCCTGAGCTGTGTGTCGACTTCCAGGCGCTGTCCCTCATTTGGTCTAGGGGGGGGGGGGGGGGGGGGGTGTCTCAAACATTTTCTTATATGTTATAATAGGCTAGATAGGTGCATGCTGTTAGAGGGTACAACCACTTGAACAAAATCAACCTGTTTGCCTCATTCTAGTCAACTTTTCTACTCTGAGAATAAGTTGACAGGTTGTCCCCTCTACAGTAGGATTCAGTAAGTAGCACAACTACCGAGCCTACACAATGATATATTTTAATATATACTTCGACAGTTTGTGCGGTTACTCGACATTGAGGTGTATTGCGCAAGCTGCGTGTGTTATGAATAATAACTGAGAGTGCGATGAATAATAATGACGAGTACAAGAATGCTTAGCCTAGCATTATATAGCGAGAGCTCTAGCTAGGCGACGAAGCCGGAGGGCTAGGTGTTAACGTAGAAACGAATGATTACTAGAGGTGGAAACCTAGAACAAATACTAGTTGGTTGTACTCACTAGAAGCATACCTCAGTCTAGCCTATAACTTCTACATAGATAATATGTATAAGTTGACACACCCCCTAGGCTAGACAAGGGGTGAAACTAAACAAGAAGCAAACAGCTCAGGGCGGCACTACTAGTCCAACCACTGAGGCAGGGGTCTGGAGACCAGTCAGCAAGAATACAACCAAAACTGAAGCAAGCCAGGGTGGCACTACTAGTCCAGCCACTGGAGGTAAGGCCACAAGGCCAGTCTGACAAGCATATATAATAGAGAGTACACAATCAGGATCCTAACAGGTGGAAACCTAGAACAGGTAGAAACGAATGATTACTAGAGGTGGAAACCTAGAACAAATACTAGTTGGTTGTACTCACTAGAAGCATACCTCAGTCTAGCCTATAACTTCTACATAGATAATATGTATAAGTTGACACTAGGCTGGGTACAGGCGCGGTCGAAAAGTTCGGAGGCGGTGCGGGCGTGCCTCGGGGTCGCTTCGGAAACGGACCGAGCCTGGTGTTCAGAGATGTTGGAAATATCTCAAAGAACTTAAGCGTTTCTGAAGTGTAACACTACACTCGAGGAAGACTACAGGGGAGCACGCGAGTCAACGGAGGTTACACGAGGGGGCGGACAAAGAATGCGAAAAGACCCGAAAGGTCGCAACTGGAGGTTGCGACTGACCGTTACAGCATCACGGATGGTAACCGAAGCGGCAATCGAGTCGCTATGCGACTCGATAAACCGTTCCTGTAACTGTACTCTGCAACTGCTTTCTTATCTTCTATATATTGCTGTATGCTTGTTTCTTTAATCAATCACTTGTTCTCACATACTAGTACAAGGGTTCAACTGCCTCAACTTCCGCTGCACTACTCAAAGTCTCAAGTCTTTACAGCTGGGACTTAGTCTCTGGAAAAGATCCTAAGGGCTTTTCTCAGCCCAACATGGTATGAGAGCTGGTCAGAGACCAAACTCCCAGCAACTACGCTCCATCAACGACCTGCAACTCAACTCAATTCAACGACTTCATTGATTACAAGACATGGACAGCAAGGGCAAGAAAGTCTCTACGGGCTCACCCAGCGCCCAAGAAACTCAACACGGCAACTCTGGTCTGCACACCTCAGGACTGCAGACAGAGACCGGGACTGCTCAAGAAACAACGGGAAGAGCACCTGAGATGGTGACTCCGTCTCCCTCTTCAAGTGTGGACCCGAATCTCATGGAGAGATTCTTCAGCTTCATGTCACACTTCGACCAGCAGCAGCAGACAAGGACACCTGCGCACTCAACACAGAGCAATGGAGGGAATATGGGATTAGCGCCGATGAGCCTCGACAACTCATCCTTCGGGCGACACAATCAAGCACCTACTTTTGCGCCTTATCACTCTTCACCGGGGACGTTCGAGTTCATGCCGCCCCGCGCCCAACCAACAGCAGCTGCATCACAACAAACACCAAACGAGATTCTCAGTCTTCAGGCTCAATTCTCACACGTCATCAAGTTACAAACATCCTCACCGTTCAACGGACACGACTTCTTTACCTGGAGCTTCGAGTTCGAGCTGCTGATGGAGGCCGCGCATCTTCTGGGATACTTCAACGGGTCCCTGCCATTCCCAAGCAACGGCACTGGAAAGGAACAAGAGATCTTCACGTATCAGTCGCTACTGGCGTATACAGTCCTCCTGCGGAACCTGTCACCACAAGAGCAGCAGAGCATCAGAACATATCGGAGCTATGGGAACTCCGCGGAACTCGCATGGCATCATCTCAAGTGCCTTTATCAAGCAAACGACAGCGTGACGCAAAGCAGACTCATGCAACAACTGACAACAATACAGATGAAGACCGGGGAAAAGGCAATGCAATATATGAGTCGCTGCCAGACTCTCCGCGACCGCCTGCTTCGGTGCGGAGGAACAATCACTGAAGAAAGCTTCGTGACACTTGTCCTCGCCGGGCTCGGGCCAGAATGGAGAACCACACGATCACTTCTTCGCGCCCACGGAAGAATTTCGGAGATGCACCTCTGCGCCGAGCTCCATGCTGAACAACAGGAGATGGATCTGTTCGAGGAAAGACAACCAAGGAAGCAACAGCAGTTAGTCTTCTACACTCAACGAAGAAATGACAACAACCACAACCGACGCGGCAAGCAAGAGCACGACAACAGAGGGACTACCTTCGTGCCGCCGTTCTGCCACAACTGTCAGACTTCCGGGCACTCCAAGGTCAACTGCAACCGCCCTCGCGTTTACCGTCCAGCAGACCCACAAGTCGCCTCAACCCAAGCAAGTCCCCCAAGGCGCTCTTCAACATCTGCACAACAAACACCAAACATCATCAACTGCATGGTACACATCGACAACTGCGCACCCGGTTCACCACCCACTTACGCACCAGACGAAGAGGAATTCCCGCCGCCGCGCTCGCAAGGACTTCAGGTCAACCCGACATACGCTGCAGTCGCCAACGCCGAACCCACCGGGCGAAACACCTGGTTCTTGGATAGCTGCTGCGGTCAACACATGTGCTCCTCGGGACGCTTCGTGCAACAGGAGAAACGACTCAACCGCGACGTCGTCATCACAGTCGCCAACAACGAAAACCTGAAGACAAACAGACAAGGCGTGGTTCAGTTACAATCCATGGAAACAAACGTAATACTGCAGCTCAACAAAGTGCTCATTGTCGACAACCTGGGATACAATCTACTAAGCGTAAGCCAACTAATGGCCAAAGGGATTCACCTGGAGTGCGACTCTTACTCCAACGAGTTCCGGCTTTACCACGGGAAGGGCGGCCTCTTCATCGGTCGTGCCCTCCTGAAGTCCGGTGTCTTCGTGTTGGACTTCGTCCCCGACCGCGGAACTGCCGACAGCGATGGCATCGTATCGTTCGCCGCCTGGACTCACCCGCCGGATCTTGATCCCGACTTCGACAGTGACGGCTTCTGGCACTCCAACACCATACCTGCAGCAGAGAGAACACGAGCATTAGCAGTTATCAGACAAGAAAGACAAGTACCCGCAAGTGTCCCAACAAAACCATCACCTGCAGTATCGGCAGCAGGACCCAGCCGAGTACCACCACCATCAACACGAGGACCGCCAACGGAAGCAGACCAACTTATGCCCGCCACACGAGAAGCTTGTCGAAGTCCCGCCTCAGTCGTCGCGTTCTTCTCCAACGCCGACATCTACCACCGCTCGCCCGGTCACCGTGCTCCCGACGACATCTGGCACCAACGCCTCGGACACCCTGCAAACAGCACAATACTTCAAACAATCCAAGCAGAGGTGTTAGAACGCAACGCCCTTCTGACGACGAGCGGTCAAGAACTTCGACGACCACGCGCACGGTGCTTCACATGCCCCGAAGCAGATCTTCCTCATCAACCTTTTCCATCCCATCACAATCCGAGCGCACCTACTTACGCTCCGATGGAAAAAGTCTACAGCGATATTTTAAACATGCCTCGAGACGACGCCGAAGCCGACTTTAACTACGTCATAACTTTCATCGACGCCGCAACCAGATATGTCTGGCACTTCAATCTCAAAACGCGCGACCAAGCCTTCGAAGCCTTCACAACATGGCTCCCCATCGCCGAACGAGAATCAGGACTCAAACTCAAGAGCTTCCAGTCAGACGGTGCACTGGAATACCAGTCACAACGCTTCAGGACCTATCTGGCGGAAAGGGGAATCAGACGCCTGGTGTCCCTGCCCTATGCTCACCAACAGCAAGGGGTAGCAGAACGCATGAATCGGACCTTGCAGACGACGATGCGAAAACTGCTTCAGGGGATGCGACTGCCAACCACACTGTGGCCAGACGCGATGACACATGCTGTTCACCTGCACAACCTGCTGTCCTCGTCATCACTTTCCAACAACGCATCACCGCACCTGTTGTGGACAAGAAAAAGGGGCAGCACAAAATTACTCAGAGTCTTTGGCTGCATGGTACAGTACAGACCCCACACAGCCCGAGCAGGACGCTTCACACAACGAGCTCGGTGGGGACTCCACCTCGGCATCGCGAAACATTTTCACGCGTGGAAAATTCTCGACATACAAGACAAAAACACGGTGGCATCACGAGACGTTATCTTCTACGAACGACTGACTCTGCAGCATTACCTGGACAACCTTGCCAACACACAAGACCCCACCGACGGCCTCTCGGGACTTCGTTCCTTCGCCGATCGTGCTACCGAAGCTGACGCAGCAGAAGAAGACGTACCTGGAGCCTCGGAAGCTGCCGGGCCACTCCCATTCTGTTCCGTACCTGTTCCACTCGATGAAGATAATCCCCTCGATAGCAACAACCTCGACACCTTTTACCACTTCGCCGACCAAGGTTACGCTACACCTCACCCCGTCGACACGAATATTTCGGAACGCATCGGCCCCAATTTCTTACCTGACCCCGAAGACGGTGACGAAGCAGCTTATTCTGGGAATGACAATTCCCCTCGACACACACCCACGGGACTCCAGATTCTAGGCCTCTGGGTCTCCGTCCAGCATCCGCCGCCGCCTTCTACGCGTGAGCCTTCAACCTTGTCGCAGGCTCTGGGGGGGGAACATAAGGCAAAATGGAAAGAAGCGATGGAAAAGGAGTTAAAAGCTCTGCAAGACCGAGAAACATGGAAACTGGTACCTGCAACGAGCATCAACGGGAAGAACGTTCTCTCGGGGAAATGGGTGTACCGCATCAAGACCAACTCAGACGGCTCCATCGAACGATTCAAAGCTCGATGGGTCATACGAGGCTTCGATCAACGATACGGAACCGACTACACAGAAACCTTCGCTCCAGTCTCCCGTCACACCTCATTACGCATCCTACTCGCCGTCGCGGCCACAAAAACACTACCACTACGCCAAATCGATGTCGCGAATGCGTTCCTATACGCACCTGTGGACGCTGAGATCTTCGTCGAACAACCCCACGGATTCATCGACGACCCCACGAAAATATGCCGACTGACAAAATCCCTATACGGGATCAAGCAAGCCCCGCGGCTCTGGCAGCAGCATCTTCACAGCCGTCTCGTAAAAATCGGCTTCCTACAGCTGCCGCATGACCAAGGGATGTACCGACTGCAGAAGGGAAGAGAGTATGTTCTGCTCATCGTCTACGTCGACGACCTGCTCTACATCGGCTCCACTACCGACATCGCCACCTGGTTCGAAGGGGAGCTGAAAGAAGATTTAACTCTCACGGTGTCCGACGAAGTTACGCAGTACCTAGGACTGAACGTCGTCGAAGACGACACGGCGTTCTACCTACACGCTGGAAAGTACTCAAGCACCGTCGCGAAGAAATTCGGTCTAACACCGACTGCGGTCCCAACTCCCTACCGCTACGGGAACAACAGCAGCGCCTCTACAAAACTCCCCGCGAAACAAATCCAGGAGTATCAACAGAAGCTCGGCTGCCTACTATTCGCATCAGTAACCTGCCGACCCGACCTGTCCTATAGTGCGAGTCAGTTGGCGACACATCTGAAGCAGCCGAAACAGGAAGATCTCGAGGAACTCAATCGAGCGCTACTCTACTTCGTCTCCACGCCGACGATCGGGCTCACCTACAGCAAGGCCACAACACCGTCCGTACGACTACTCGGATACGTCGACGCCGACCACGCGGGAGACAGCGAAAATCGACGGTCTAGGACGGGCTACATCTACCGACTAGAACCTATCGGAACTATCTCCTGGCAGTCGAGCAAACAGGAGTTAATCGCACTATCCTCGGCCGAAGCAGAGTATATCGCCCTTTGTACTGCGACCAAGGAAGGACTCTATCTACGAGAGTTACTCGAGGAAGCGAAGATTGCGACCCTGCCCGCCTTCTCACTCCTCTGCGACAACCAATCTGCGATCAAAATCGCAAACAAGGACGGCTTCGCCAACCGAACCAAGCACATCGCCCTGCGGTACTTCTTCGTCAAGGATGAAATCGCGAAGGGGAGACTTCAACTCAGTTACTGCCCGACGACAGAAATGGCCGCAGACTACCTGACGAAGAAATTGGCGAAAGCAAAATTCGACTACTGCATGCTCCTGACCGGGCAAACAAACGTCACCGGACCCGAACATGACAGCACTCCAGAAACGAAGGGGAGTGTTGGAAATATCTCAAAGAACTTAAGCGTTTCTGAAGTGTAACACTACACTCGAGGAAGACTACAGGGGAGCACGCGAGTCAACGGAGGTTACACGAGGGGGCGGACAAAGAATGCGAAAAGACCCGAAAGGTCGCAACTGGAGGTTGCGACTGACCGTTACAGCATCACGGATGGTAACCGAAGCGGCAATCGAGTCGCTATGCGACTCGATAAACCGTTCCTGTAACTGTACTCTGCAACTGCTTTCTTATCTTCTATATATTGCTGTATGCTTGTTTCTTTAATCAATCACTTGTTCTCACATACTAGTACAAGGGTTCAACTGCCTCAACTTCCGCTGCACTACTCAAAGTCTCAAGTCTTTACAGCTGGGACTTAGTCTCTGGAAAAGATCCTAAGGGCTTTTCTCAGCCCAACAAGAGAGTTCGGGTGTACGCGATTGCAGTACAACCCGGTAAGGAATAAAATTCCTTACAGCGTGCATCTGTTTTGTGTTCCCGTTATCTCAAATGTTGGGCGACTTTGATCATCACAACATGGCTGGCATGCACATTTCTGGTCATTTTTTTGGCGCACATGTCACTTCGCCACTTTCAGGTTTCATCCCATATCTGAATTCATGTTTGTGTTCCACAAACTAAAAAGCAAGACAGCATCCCTTTTAAAAGCAAGTGGAAATTAAAAGCTTGTCTTGAATGCTATTTTAGCCGCAAGCTTTAAACCACTGCTGCCACTGCCGTTGGTGGGCTCTACACGAATAGGAGGCAGGCAAGCGCCACACCCATGGCCACTGTGAGGGCACTGCCCGGCGACGCCAGCGAACCTGGCCAGTGCGACAAGGGGAAAGGAGGAGACAGGAGAACCGTAAACAGGTGAGGGTTAACAGGCCATTTCAAGGGTACAGGGGCAGGGAAAATAATAAAAGTGGGCAGAAAGGTGGGGAAGCAGATAGTGGGGATTCTGTGGGAGGGAGAGAAGCGCAACAGGGATGCAACGCGATGTAATGGAGAGGGAAACAAGAGCAGGGTTCAGCGGGACAGCAGAGCAGGAGAGCAGGAGAGCAGGAGAGCAGCACAGTAGCAACGCAGCAGAAGCAACGTACCAGCAGGACTGGGTGGCGGTGGGGAAGCAGGGGTGGGAGCAGCGCCGACAGCGACGGTGTTATCAGCCTTGAGGGTGAGCGGCAGGCCAGTGTTGACCAGCACACCGTTGCGCCCAAGGAGGGCGCCGTTGGGCCACCCAGTCACCTCGCCCACGGTGAACGACTCGGACCCGTCCTTGCTCGGAGTAACCTTCACGGGCTGCCCGCTTGCCGCATCCACAATGTTGCCGTTCGGGACTACTTTCGTCGCGCCAATGGTCACACTGCCGGCAGCCGTCTCGAAGACCACGCCTTTCCCCACCAGAGTGCCATTCGCGGGGAAGTAGCTGTATTCCGCGAGAGTGAGCGACCCGTCGTCGTTTTGAGCGGGCCTCAGGACCATGCCCTGCGAGTCCACGATAGTTCCGTTCTTATACAGAGTGTTGCCGTCGATATTGACGCTGCCGTCGGGATTGGCGTTGATGGTACCGGCGGTGCCGGAGGAGGGGATGGTGGAAGGAGAGGAACCGGTGGTGGGAGACGGGGTGGGAGTCGGCGTGGGCGTCGAGGGGGAGGGAGAGGGAGAGGAGGCGGGGGGGGGAAGAGAGGCGGGGGCGGGAGGCGGGCTGGGAGTCGGCGCCGGCGACGGCGTCGGGGGGGAGGGAGAGGGCTTGGGGGCGGGGGCGGGGCCGATAGTCGCACCGGCGCCGCCGTTAGACGGTCTTATCGTCAGCCTCGTTCGAAGCGTCACGCCGTTAGAACCGGTAAACGTGCCGTTCGGGTAGCCGGTTAGGTCGCCGGCGGTGAACGATCCGTCGGGGTTGTGGGACCACGTCAGCACGTTGCCCTTGGCGTCCTTCACCACCCCGCCCTTGCCGAACAGCGTCGTGCCCCCTACAGTCACGAAGCTGGCGGCGCCGGCCAGGTATATGGTGATGCCGGGCGCGGTGATGGTGCCGTTCTTGTACCACCGGTACTTACCGTTCTCGACCGCGACGGAGCCGTCGGATTCCTTGACCGGCGTGATCCTGGCCTTGGTTTCGTTGTCGTACACGAACCGGCCGTGGATGGTGTAGTTGTCCACCGTCGTGCTGCCGTCCGCGTTGCTGAAGACGAGGGTCTGGACCTTCGTTGTAGTCACAGCGCTGACCGAGACGGCGACGGCGAGCAGCAGCAAGGCGACGGAGACGCAGCGGTGGTGCGCCATGGAGGCAGGCCGCGCCATCGATCGTGCGACAAATGCGCGGCTGGGCGGCAAGTGGCGTCGCAGCGTGCGTGGAGCGCGCTGCTGGACAGAAATGCAGCACTTCTACGGGTGCTTGCCTGCTGAGTGACCAGCTTTCCCTGCTAAAGCTCGAGCAGGCTTGATGTAGGGAGAGCAAATGTGAGGGAGAGAAGAGAGCGGCGGCAAAATGCAGCGCAAGCAGTTGAGCCATGCGCTGCTTGCGCTATCCCCCGCTGCTTCTCACTGTCCGATTTGCCCCGTGCCCCGTGCGCGCTGCTGCTTTGCTATCTTCCGCAAGGCGCACATCGCAGACGCTCTATCGGTGGAGTTCGGTGAAAGCGCGCCGCCGCCTCAGTGACGACGAGAACCCCTAGTGCGATTCGCGGACTTGGGGCTTGCCTAGCTGGTGAACCATTATTGGCTGCGTTTTGTAGAAGATCCCAAGCAAGTCGAGGTCGCGAAAGAGAATCGCGCAAATGACGAAAAAAAAACATTATTTAAAACAGTCGACCATTTTTGCGTGCGATGTATGGCATGCCCCCGTCACCCAAAACGGTCAACCCCTCCAACTGTACCCGTTTTCGTGTTGGGTTAATATGCCACTACGTTTTTTCGCGGCAACTGATCAGGGCAGCATGTGTAGGGTCAAATAAGGAGTAATACGACAATTATGACGGCACATTAAGGGCTGCGGCATTCGAAAAAGGCACGCGCAATCACTTTGGGCACAACGTCCGGATTTCGACAAAATAGCGGGTGAAGTTTTCGCTGAACGCGGATTCCGACGGGGAACTTTTCCAAAAACAGGTGTTGACCCCGGATTCTGACGGGTAAGTTTTGGCAGAACTGGCTTTGAAACCCATATTTGACGGATGAATTTTGACAGAACAGAGTGCTGAACACGGATTCTGACGGGTAGCTTTGGCCAGATACCCGGATCTGGCGGGGGCCCCAAAAACCAAACGTAAGCCCCGACACTTGCGCTTCGATTTTTGTCAGATTTTTAATGCATGTTAGCGCAACAATTGAATTGGGATCCGGCAAATGTTTTTTTCACAGCGACCCAAAATTACATTTCCGATATTCGGTACATCAAAACAAAAACGTGTACAGTTGAGCTGGTTGACCGTTTTGGGTAACCGGGGCAGACCATACATCACGCGCAAAGGGGGTTGACCTTTTGAAAAAATGTTTACTTTTCTTCAAACGGCGTTATTTTCTTAGGTCGCGAGCTTTCCTCGCTGGTGCGGTTTTCTATTGGTCATTTAGGGTGGCTGAAGTTACCGCAGATGTCAAGTTGCCTCAGCCCTTTTTCGCGACAACTATCGCGAATATCTGTGCGTTGACGAAGGGCTCAGCGACCACAGGTGTTTGGTTTTGCGGCGGCGGGGACCGCAGCGCACATGCATGCAAAGCACCCTATCACCCCAAAACGAAGTGCAGAGGCGGAAATTTGATATGCGCGGAAGGGAGCTGCGGAGCGGAGCGGACGGAGGCCCAACAGAGAGGACCGACGTGACTTGTCCAACAAGACCACACATGGCTAGCTTCCGCGCGCACTTGCAGGCTGAAGGGGACCACCCACCTCCAACCACTGCCATTGGCTGCCGCCAAGCCAACCAAAAATTGTGGACACCGAAATGAAGAGGCTAAGGGCGTTTCACTAAAGCACGTGCCTTGTTCAACGCCGAGTTGAGTTACCACTTTTAGGTATGTAACCATAAAACATGCCCATCCAAGACATGCCCACCTCACACCCGGGGGGTGTTTGCTGGACAATTTTTCACTGGCACGGTGAGGGAAATCAGGCATGTGGAACATCGATCGAGGCTTCGTGGGTTCGCCGAACCCAATTTGCGAAACATGACGTCAGCATGCGACATCGTCGCGTCGGTTCGATTTCCCCAAACCAAGGGCCCCCAAATCGCGTGCCCCTTCTCATGCCAAACCCGAAGTGCGGCCATCAGCCGCCCAGAGCTGCCAGGCAAACTTCAATTTCACTCCATGCCACACCTCATACTGCAAAATCGTGGTATGAGGCCGGCCAAGATTGGCATGCCTCTTGGCTGGGCAGGTTTACGAAACCCAAAAAAAACCCGCAGCTCACGCTTGTCTCTCATAGCCACTTCCCTTCCAACCATACCCGTCAATCTGCGCAATTGCGCCAGCTCGTACCCATCGAACCGGCCACATTTTGAAATGTTAAAAAAAAAGTGGGCAGCTTTGACAAAATTGTGTGAAACATTTTTTCTCCGCTAGATTTTCGACGAAATTGCGATGGGCTAACAGGGCTTTTGATGGGCCCCACTCTTCACTGTCCACGAGTTTGTCGTATCCAGGCTTGCAGTCGTGACCGATATAATCATGAGCCGACGACGTTATGATTACCAAAGTACTGGGGCACACAAAAGAAATTTACGTAGGTTTGGCTTCGCAGATTCCATGCGCGGGGGATTTGGTCGCCCGCTCCCGTTCCCGTTCCCCTAGGCAAATTTCCCGCGAACGGCCCCCCAAAATTAGCGGACACCAGCGCACGTTTCCAAGTACCTCTGCATGACAAAAATAGACCATACAAAAATTCAGTTTGCCAACCAGTACCAGCACCACCTCTAGCGAAATTCTCTAGCGACACTTGGCAGCCCCTCACGTCGCTAGCGAAGAACCTACCCCCGTTGCGCTGATTGGCCCTCATTTTGTTACACGTGTCGCGGGGATTTCACATGGCGGGACCCCGTTACCCGCTCCTATATCTGTGCTGGTCTCGGTGCTTTCCTTTCGAACTGTACCCTTCATTTCGGACATGTTGCCAAATCGGGATCTGTTTCAAAATCGATTCACATTGCGTACCGTCAAACGGCACCGCGTGTAAAAAACGGGTAAAGGATTTTTGGGGATACGCCCTAAAGCTGACGGGAAATGGGGGGAGTTGAAGTGACTCAGGGCGTGCCCAGCGCGTTCGTATACTATTCACTTTGCATATCAGGTACGAAATTTCGTGTCCACTCGGACACGCACGAAAAATTGATGGTTTTGGCGGACACCCTCCAAACGTGCCCACAGACGTGCCCATATTTCCGAACCGAATAGAGATCGTGCCCAAATTATACACACGGCAGAAACGCCCGAATCCTGGCTGGCGAAAAATAGAAGGCTTATATTCGCCAGGCTTTCGTGACGCATGCAAAGCACCAGGTGGGGCCTCTTTCCCGGGACGGAATTCGGTTACCCTGTTGTTTTCGCGTGTCAGTCTGTTATGTGTGTTGGAAATAACTCGAAGACTTGAGCGTTTCTGAAGTGTAACACTACACTCGAGGAAAGTCGTATCGGGTATGCGAGTCAGCGGAGGTTACACGAGGAGGTTGGACAAAAGAATACGAAAGGGCGAAGGGACTCGAAGGGTCGCAACCGGAGGTTGCGATTGACCGTTGCGACTGCAAGGGTGGTAACCGAAAAGACAATCGAGTCACTGTGCGACTCGATAACTATTCCTTCAACTGTATTCTAGAACTACTTCATTTCATATTTTCTATATATTGCTGTATGCTTGTTTCTTTTAATCCATCACTTGCTCTCACACACTAGTGCAAGGGTTCAACTACTCAACACTTCCGCTGCACTACTTAAGCGTTTTGTACAAGTGGGACTTAGTCTCTGAAAAGGTCCTAAGGCTTTTTCTCAGCCCAACATGGTATGAGAGCTGGTCAGAGACCAAACTCCCATCGACAACATCCTATCTACATTCAGCATATCAAAAGCTTTATCGATTACAAAGCATGAACAACAAGGGCAAAAAGTCTTCTACGGGCTCACCCAGCGCCCAAGCCACTCAACCCGTCACCTCTGGACTACACACCTCAGGACTACAAACCGAGACCGGCGCTGCTCAAGAAACAACAGGAAGAGTACCAGGAATGGTGACCCCTTCACCCTCTTCAAGTGTGGACCCGAACCTTATGGAAAGGTTCTCCAGCATCATGTCGCACTTCGAGCAGCAGCAGCAGCAGACAGGGACACCTGCGCATTCAATACAGAGTAATGGAGGAAATACGGGGTTAGCATCGATGAGCCTCGACAACTCATCATTCGGGCAGCACAACCAGGCGCCTACCTTTGCGCCTTATCACTCTTCACCAGGGACGTTCGAGTTCATGCCGCCCCGTGCTCAACCGACAGCAGCTGCATCACAACACACACCAAACGAAATATTAAGTCTCCAGGCGCAGTTTTCACATGTGATCAAACTGCAGACATCTTTACCGTTCAACGGGCACGACTTCTTTACTTGGAGCTTTGAGTTCGAGCTGCTGATGGAGGCCGCGCACCTCTTGGGATACTTCAACGGGTCCCAGGCATTTCCAAGCAATGGCACTGCAAAAGAGCAGGAAATCTTCACGTATCAGTCGCTACTCGCATACACAGTTCTCCTGCGAAACCTGTCACCACAAGAGCAACAAGGCATCAGAACGTATCGGAGCTACGGAAACTCCGCGGAGCTCGCTTGGCATAATCTGAAATGTCCCTATCAAGCAAACGACAGTGTGACACAAAGCAGACTCATGCAGCAGTTGACAACAATACAAATGAAGACCGAGGAAAAGGCGATGCAGTATATGAGTCGCTGCCAGACACTTCGCGACCGACTGCTTTGGTGCAGAGGCACAATCACTGAAGAAAGCTTCGTGACACTTGTTCTCGCCAGGCTCGGACCACAATGGAGAACCACCCGCTCGCTTCTTCGCGCCCACGGACGAATTTCCGAGATGCACCTTTGCGCCGGGCTTCATGCTGAACAACAGGAGATGGACCCGTTTGAAGAACGACAACCACGAAGCAAGCAGCAACCATTAGTCTTCTACACTCAAAAAAGAAACAACAACAACCGACACAACACCAGAGGCCTCACCATCGTGCCGCCGTTCTGCCACAACTGTCAGACATCCGGGCACTCCAAGGTCAACTGCACACGCCCTCAAGTTTCTCGTCCAGCAGACCCACAAGCCGCCTCCACTCAAGCAAATCCGCCAAGTCGTTCCTCTACACCTACACAAGGCGCACCACATATCATTAACTGCATGGTACGAATCAACAGCTGCACACCCAGGTCACCACCCACTTACGCTCCAGACAAAGAAGAGCTGCCGCCGT